CGGGATCAGGCATAGGACATGGTCCCTGCCCTGGGCTGGAAACCAGGGATCCAGGAGGAAGGATGAGGGGCGAGAGCAAGAAGGTTGCATTGCGATGCGCGGAACCTGCCGGAGCTTGTTCCGAATCTGATGCAATCGCTTGTCAAGACACTGCCGAAGTCGCACGCAGCGGGCGCTCTCCACGGAGGCTCCAGGGGCGCAAGAGGCGGGCGAGGTCTGGGCTGAGCTAGGACCGGGGAGGGGCTGGAGGGGGAGTCAGGCTGAGCGAGCGCCCTTGCCCCGCCTACTCCATCTGCCTCGTGTGATTCCAGGTGAGCCTCTCGTCCTGCCTGAGCCTAGCGACCGGGTAGAAGGCCCTCAAACCCCAGCCTCCCCAGACCCCTCCAACACTCGTACCAGCCTGGAAGTCTGAGAATCCTGGAGACCAAGTCCATTTCTCAGACAACATCTGCCTCGTGTGATTCCAGGTGAGCCTCTCGTCCTGCCTGAGCCTAGCGACCGGGTAGAGGGCCCTCAAACCCCAGCCTCCCCAGACCCCTCCAACACTCGTACCAGCCTGGAAGTCTGAGAATCCTGGAGACCAAGTCCATTTCTCAGACAAAGAAACAGACCTGGAGAGTTAAAGACACAGTGGCTGGTGGCTATGTCCCCAGCCCCAGATACATACTAGCCTTCAGTGAAATGTTTTTGACTTCCAGAAGAAGGGAGCAGAGCCAGGGCTTGAATCTTAAACTCTAAAGAGCGGATATACGGTCATTCCTCAAGTATTTGCTAAGCTCCTACTGCATGCCAGGCACAGTGGTACCCAAGCAGAAAGCGATCTCTGCTGAGACTTGGCCAGGGGAGAGGAACGATACTCAGTGAAGTAAAACAGGGGGTTCCTATTTTAGGCAGGTTGGAGGGATGAGGCGCAGCCAGCCATGATGAGACATAGGGGGGATGCTCTTGGTACAGGAAGCAGCTTCTGCAAAGGTTTGTGGTGGGAACCAGCCCGGCGTGCTGGAGGGAATGGGCCCCCTTGCTCCCGGCACACAGCAGGCCTCTGGGTGACCGGCTTCCCCTTCTCTCTCCCACAGTGCAGCTGGGGTCCGACGGCCACCTGCACCTGCGCGTCTCCCGGGCCGCTCTGACCAAGGATATCCCCGCTGCCTTCCGCCTGCAGCGGGCCCTGCTCCGGCTGTCCCCGACGGCGCTGACTTCGTGGGACGTGACGCGGCCGCTGAAGCGTCAGCTCAGCCTGGGAGGACCCCTGGCGCCCGTGCTACACTTGCGACTGTCGCCGCCGTCCGACCAGTGGCGGGCCC